TTTTCTGGCGAGTTTTTACCTCTGCTGGTGATACCTCTGTTGGTGATACCTCTGCTTGTTCGACTTGTATCACCCTTGCCCTTATCACAACACTTTCAAATTTTTCCAACTCCTTAAACTCTTTATCCCCAAATTTCTATTGCCAGCAAGAGGGATATACTCGAAACTTTGATACCACACATCCTCTTGCAACCACCTGTCACTGCTACACGTGTTTTGTAACCTCTTTTACTCTCACTTCCTCCAAGTTGACGGTACCTCCAACTGGTTTTCTGTTTTTGTTGAATAACCTCGCCGATTAAATTTGTTGCTTTGCATATATGCCCATCTGACATTTGTTTCTAACACCATCTTCCCACTTGATAAATCTTATCCACTGGGACTCCCTTCTCTCGGAACCGGGTCCTTGCTAGAGCTATATATATGGATTGGGCAACTCCTTCTAGCTCGGTGACACAACATCAATGAAGGAATTTAAATGATCCTTTATAACTGTAGTTACTCTATAAGGGGTTAAAGTTGGTTCGGGGTTCTCCAACACCCAGTAAGCTCATTCTATAAATCTCTCACTGTCAATACTCCCCTTTGCAGTCCTTTGACATTGAAACTTCTTGATGTCGTTCTCGTTGAGAAGACCCGTCAATCGCTCTATCTGATGAAGTCATTCTCAGACAGTGGTTTCCATAACACCGTTGTCTTTGCGGTCGGCGATAAGTGAATTGTTACTCTGTGTTTTATCCAATCCTTAACTACCGCATTCTAAAATTTGAACTTTTTAAGGGTTGCTCATGAATTTGAAGTCCTCATATTTCACTAATCTGCTGAGACTAGTTCAACCACTTCACTAGTTAGTCTCCAAAGGGGCGTCACTGACTGCTATGAGTCGAACCGTTTGTTCTTTGCATGCACAAAGTGACAGCGAGACCACCTTTGGGATGTATCTTTGTACATCATTTGAAGTAGGCTTTGAAATAAACATTATCGTCACGGCTTTAACCTCCTGGACCATTACCCTTGACAGTTTCCTCATCATGACTACATATTAGATAACTGAGAACACCAAACTGAAACCGCCTAAACTATCCCTATCAATGATAGGTAAGGGACAATTCCTAAACTCTTGATACCAGTGGATACCTTTTTCTTGAGAATCAAGTCATGTAAGGTGGTACAGTTCGAGAGAGCAACGTGAACCCCCCCAAAAATCTTCGGTGTGCCTTCGTCAACCCGCTTCATTTCCAAGTTAACCTGTATTTTGTAGCTTGCTGGTAATAAATGAATTAATGTATTCCAATTGACTGCAATTTAAAAAAAATTTGCATAATATTGTAGATTACTTCTTAGATCTTTTAAAAAGTCGTTTTTGTTAACTGCAATAACGAAGCGGTTATTTGCAATAACCTTGACATGACAATTCTTTCCACTCTTCAGTTTAAGGCCCTGCAACACTGAATGTCTTCAAATATTGCACAACAAGATCTTTAACTGCAATACGAAGGTGTTAGCGGGCAATGTTGACTCAGCGAACGTGGTAGTGTAATCTCATATGAACGTGTGTCATTGATTTTGACTGTTGTTGTAGAGAAAGTATAAAAAACCTTCACAAAAAATCAAAACCCTTATCTGAACCACCCTAAGTGTAGTGAAGACAAACATCCAACTCACCCTATCTTACGATTTGTCAAGGTCGAACATCAACATATACACATTCAAGTTGCGTCTCTTCATTATTTATAGAGCCTCAAACGTTGTAATTGTATTTTCGGAAATACAAAATTATAAGGTATTTGATGAAGGTCTCTTGGTCTGTACCCACTAGGTTAGGAAGAAGCTTAAATAACCTCAACGCCAATGCTTTTGTTAAATTTTACAAACCACGTTTAAAAATGAAATCGAGAGTCAATTTTTTACCTCGCTCCTATTTATTTTTTTTACATTAGAGAAGAGACCCCTCTCGTCATAAATTTTTACAATCCTCTTCCCTGCACAATTTCATTATACAGTTCCACAAGATCCCCCTCAAGCATATCAACAAATTTTACATTGAACTCTATTGATAAATCGTCGTCATAATAAGTTTTGCCTTTTGCCATTTACCTTGTTGTGTGTATGATCTCTGCAATGAAGATGGGTTATTAAAGCCTTGTTTTTTATTCCGATGTGGGTTTTGTCGTTGTTGCATTTCATTGATTCGACTAAGTGGTCAAGGCGAAATCAATATCATCAAAGAGGGAAGGTGATATAAGGATATCATGAAAGTAATCAGGCAATATATCTGCTCATGTCCTCATTTGGAATAGTCAACAACAGACTTATCAGGTGCGAATAATTTAACCGCATTTGTGTGTATCTTGTATTCTTAAATAATTTATGAAATGTTTTTTTAAACAATATATCTCATGTCACAATTCTCTTCTCGTTCGATAACTGACTTCAATATCCGAATTTCTTAGTTTACTGATTATCTTATTTTTTTAATCTTAAGTTCACGTTGTTTCCTCTGACCACACCGCATCGGAAATAGGTTATTTAACCATATTATCATTTGGTTCCTCAACCCTCTTCTTACAACTTGTCTCCTCCTTGTTCTTATGATAGACAACAATTATGGAGTATGAATACATTTGCTACGAGATGATCTGTAGTCCATCGTCCATCCAATTTGCTATCTCGTCGAAGTACTATTACGTTATTTTTTCATATTTCCCAAAAATTGTTCATCCACTGTGGGACTCCCTCATCTTGAAGGTTGCAAACGTTGAGTTTGAAGAGGTCATGACCTCTCTTCGTCTATGAATCCACGAGAAGGTACGTTAAACATGCTTGCATTGACTTCGTTCACTTGAAGTACATTGTCTGCTAAAAAATATCAAACCGCCTCCTCACCCCTATATCGTTTGTTGTTGTCCCAAACTAAGTGTATTCGTGACAATCAAGGTTAATATCCTTGAAGGCATCTCTGAGATTCCATTTTGCCATCCATTGGAGTCACGTCTTTCGATCCCTTGATAGACCCTCCTCTTTTTTTGAATCCGACCTTGTGCCACTACCAATGTGTCCGATCGAGGCATTTTCCTAGATGAAAGCTCGATGAACTCAATTTTATCCAGAGGATCATTCGGGGCACAAACTAATGTGAAGACTCGTCACGCATTTGAACCAACTTTTCCTTCAACAATTTTGTTTTCTGCGAACACATAATGTCTACTTTTCTCTCGTGCATCCGTTTTTTAAGCCTCCCCCCATAGTCCGCCGACCCCTTAACATTCCAGGTAGTCAATTTAGTAATACAAATCATGTGTAATTTACCCGACAACTAATGCTTGGATTTGTGGATCGAGAATCAGGTGGTCAGGTCACCTCGAAAATAAAACTTTTGCAAAGTACGAAGACGTCATGTTTTTTCTTTGTTGGAATTTTACGTTCAAACTCGCCATAAATATCTTTGACAGACCTGAATGCACTTGAATCCTATTCAGACCATCTGCCACTTTTGATGCGAAAATCCTCAGGGGGATCGCTTCCAAGCCCGTCAGCGAAAGAACTTGCTAATGCTCCTTGGACAGATGAACATCCAGAAGAGGAATTGAAAATTTCAGCTTTCTTCCCTCGGTAGTTTATCCTTAGGGGATAGGCGAAAGAAAAACTTGTCGCCATATAATTCACCCACCTTTTTTGCAATCGACTGCGCTGATGGAAGTTCGATCATCTCCGACATGGGCACGATTACCTAATCATCCGCTCCCTTCAAAGCAATCACAAAAAACTCTTGCCTATAGAGGGAGCAGACGAAGTGAAGTAAAAGTTTATCTTCTCTCTCTTCCCCTCTACTCGAAGTCTCTTCCCGTTTACTCAAAGTCGTTGCTCCTTTGTGGATGTCACTTGGCGATTCTTCTTCCGAGTCCTGTCCCCCATCCATGTTGACATTGCCTTGCTAGGTAGACGATTCCTCGTCTCTTGCATGACCGTCCCTATCTTGCTTAACCATCGCTTTGGTACCCCTCCATATGCCATCTCCGCTCGCCTTCAGGATTCTGGCTACTTCTCCTTCCAACCCCTCATCTAAATCGCCCTCCCCTCCTACAATTAAATTGTTGAGATCCTGCTGCGGCTCATGCTGTGATTGGTTGAAGTCCTTGTCTCACTTTGTTCAGCTGCACTGCCTCCCTGGACTCCTAATCTTTGATGCATCATTCCCAGGGTACCAGAGTACCAAACTTGATTCATCCCGAGTCCCAGAGTACCAAACTTGAAGCATCCCCAGGGTAGCAGAGTACCAAACTTGAATCATCCCCAGAGTACCAGAGTACCAAACTTGATAGGAAATCTTCGGAAAGCCACCCACGCCGAGCTTTCCCCTTGGAGCGTGGCGAAGACCACGTGCAATTGTTTCCTTTTTTTCCCGCCCCTTTGCCCACAGCTTGCATTTTATACATTCCATCTCGATCTGTTCCAGCCAACCTTCTCCGAGATTGTTTTCACCGCGCCATTGTCCCCCGAGCATTACCACACGAACGCCAGATGGGGAGCACGGTCCGAACAAGGGCCTTCTCCCTTCCCGTGAAGACGGACCTCTCCTCTGACTAAGCTACTGATCCCACAACTCCTTCACAAGAGAAGGCGGGAGCTTTGAGGATTGCTGTCGGCCCCCGCGCCCGCCACGCCCGCCACACCCGCCCCGCCCTTCCCTTCACGCTCTTCACGCCCTCTTCACGCCCTTCACCCACTTCACGCCCCGCCTACCCAGTTGCTCGCTCGCCCGCTGGCCCTTCCGCTTGCCCGCCCTTGAGCTTTGCTGCATTCTGGTTGCCCGGCGCCCGGTTTTGACTTGTCTAGGCGGACTGGCAAGCGAGGCCTTGTTTGGTTCCTCCGTCTAGGGACGTGCTTTCCCGTTCCTCTCCTTGGACCATTGCGCCGCACAACTGCTCTCCACCTTACCCAACGACAAGGGGAGGCTAAGCCCTAGTCATCGCTGTTTCCTTCGTCTCTCAGCTCAAGCGAAGCAAACGAGTGTGATATATTCGTCTCGCACCATCTTTCCTTCCACCCATTCGTCCCAACCACCCTCTCCCCCCCCCACCGTCCTCCCTTTCCCCCTTATTTGCCCACAGCACAAGAGCAACCTCGTCTCTCCATCTTTCACGGGAGATCAAGCTTTTCGGAGCTGTAGCACGCATCCCCTCCGTGGCTTTTGTGCTGGATTTGGAGTCTTTGGGAGTTTGAGGGGCCGAGCGGTTGGGTTCGTTTTGTTGCTGTGGTGTGTCCTGTGACGTACAGTGGTGTGTCCTGTGACGTACAGTGGTGTGTCCTCCCGAGTGGAGAGGGGAAGGAGCGAGACCTCCCTGCCGGATGGCTGTGTTGTAGGTGGGTACTGCAGAAGGAAAGCGAGATAGGGCTGGACGATGATGACAAATGGTACCTCCTCGTTTGGTCTATCATGTTATCGGCACGTTTGGCGTGCTGAGGGAGGTAGGCACCACAAGTGAAATAGAAAAGGAATTGTATCGGGCAGCAGGGGTAGGTGTTCCCACAAGCTTTTCGGGTTGAAGCTTAGGCAGCTTAGCGGCTCTATCAATGATTGTGAGTGGCGATGAGGTGGACGGGGTGTCGAGTTCCAGGCAAAGGACCATAGTCGCGGGCCGGGTGGTGCAGGAGCAGAGTGATCAAGGAATCTAGATGCAGAGGGGATAGAGAGAAGGTGGTGTGTATGAGGTTTCTGCCGCTGCCCCCATTTAGCATTGGGGAGAAGAAGGAAGAGTGACAGAGGTCAAGGGACGAGGATCGAACTCTCGTCGGTGGGAGACTGCGTATGCGAAGTCAGCAATCCAAGTCTGCGAGGCGTTCTGTGTCAACGACACACGGAGATCTGTGGCGTGGCACGCACGGGATACTGTCCCGACCCCCATCGCTAACTGGCGCCCGGAATCCGTCGGGATCCTTGTGAATGAGGAAGGAGAGGAGATAGGCGATAATAAAAAAAGGAGATTCTCCGGAAAAAAACTCGGAAGAGAGAACAATCGAGGAACGAGTAATGGGAGGGGAGGGAAAACGGAAGGAGGTGGCGGCTGAACAGTAAGGTAAAGCGTGAAGGGCGACGAGGAAGAGGAGGAGGAGAGGAAGCGGAAGAGGAGGAAGAAGAGGAGGTAGAGGAGGAAGAAGAGGAGGTAGACAAGGAGGAAGAAGAGGAGTTGGTGGGATTGGTGGTCCAGAAGGGTTGGCGACTCTACGTGAACGATATAAGGAGGAGGGGACTTGGCGTGAGGAAGGTTCGTAGTGCTTGAACCGACAAAACTGTCTTGAACCCACAAAACTGTCTTTGCTTCTCTTTTGTGGGGCCACCACTGTTTGGAGTCGCGACGGAAGCCAGCGCGCCTGTGTCATGGCGATGCCTATGGTGTTTATTCCATTCGATTTTTGACGGGGGTTCTCTCTGCGTACCGCTCTTATCGGACGGGAAACACGAGAGAGAGAGAGAGAGAGAGAGAGAGAGAGAGAGAGAGAGAGAGAGAGAGAGAGAGAGAGAGAGAGAGAGAGAGAGGATGAGGTGGTGAGGGTGAGGAGGGCGGTGGCGGGAAGGAGGGGTGAGAAGAAGGAAGGGAAAAGAAGGGTGAGCGGTGGAGGTGAAGGGGCGAGAAGAGTGGGGTGGAGGTAGTTCACGAAGAGGGAAGGGAGAAAAAAAGGAGGGGGTGGGGAGGGAGAAGGTTCCTCTCTGAAGGAAAAAGTTTGGGTGGACCTAGCCGGGGTTCCGAGCGCATGCACGCGTGGAGTGAACCCTTCGCTACGGGCATATCTCGGCATGCTCCAAAGCGTGAAAAAGAAGCTGGGCGGTGGGCGGAAGACGTCTGTGAAGGCGGATGCCTCAAGCACCAATGCAGCTGATGCGGCGTCCTCCACCAGTACTCCCTCTACTGCGAGAAGAGATTCTTCTTCCGCTGCTGGAAATAGGACTCAAGCGGCTGTTGGCGCGATCAACAAGGCTGCCGTTGTCCCGGGAGCCCCCGCGGGCCCCGGTCGGGGAGCTCCGTCGAAGGATGGCCCCAAACCATCCTCTGCCGGCGGGCTAGGTTCGGGATCGGGTTTGGGTGTAGGCTCGGCAGTAGGCGGCGGCGGCGGCGGCGCCGCCGCACTTGTCGGCCCCAGTACTCCTAATAGCATCGCCGCTGCTTTCGCAGACCCCCTTCCCTCTTTCCGCGACGTCGCCGCCTCCGAGCGTCAGAACTTGTTCATCAAGAAGCTTCATCTCTGCAGCTATGTCTTCGACTTCACTGATCCTAAGAAACATGTTCGCGAGAAGGAGCTCAAGAGGGCCACTCTTCTTGAGCTTGTCGATTATGTTAATTCCGGCACGGGGAAATTCAATGAAGCCGTCTTTGAAGACATCACCAACATGCTCGCCGCCAATCTCTTCCGCTCTCTCCCTCCGTCCTCCCACGAGAACTCGTCAACTGACAACTTTGACCCAGAAGAAGAGGAGCCGTCGATGGAACCCGCGTGGCCCCACCTCCAGATCGTGTACGAGTTCCTCCTAAGATACGTCGTGTCGAACGAGACTGACGCCAAGGTGGCTAAGAAGTATATCGATCACGGCTTCGTGTTGAGGCTGTTGGACCTGTTTGACTCGGAAGACCCGAGGGAGAGGGAGTACTTGAAGACGATTTTGCACAGGATATACGGGAAGTTTATGGTGCATCGCCCGTTCATTAGGAAGGCGATTAATAACATATTTTACAGGTTCATTTTCGAGACCGAGAGACATAATGGGGTCGCGGAGTTGCTTGAGATATTGGGCAGCATTATCAATGGCTTCGCGCTGCCGTTGAAGGAGGAGCATAAGTTGTTCCTTGTCAGGGCATTGCTTCCACTGCACAAACCGAAGTGCGTGGCCATCTATCATCAGCAACTGTCCTATTGCATCACCCAGTTCGTGGAAAAGGACTGCAAGCTGGCAGACACCGTCGTTAGGGGATTGCTAAAGTATTGGCCGGTAACGAACAGCCAGAAGGAGGTGCTCTTTCTGAGTGAGCTGGAGGAGGTTCTGGAGTTAACGCAGCCGGCGGAGTTTCAGAAATGCATGACGCCGCTTTTCCGCCAGATTGGTCGCTGCCTAAACAGCTCTCATTTTCAGGTTGATTTGTCTCTTCCCCCCCCCCCCATCATGAGTGTTTTTCGTGCCTCTCTGCTCAACGGATGATGTTCCCGCCCATCCATCCACTCAATCCCGCTCTTGCAATCTCAGTTACATTCGTCTCCTTCTCATTTTTTTATATAAGTCTTTTTCATTCTTATCTCGCTCTTCTCTGTTCCTTATCTTTCCCATTCTTATCTCGCTCTTCTCTGTATTCTTATCTTGCACTCTCATGTGCTCACTTTACTCCCTTCCCGTTTCGCCTTTTTGTTGTTTTGGGTGTGGTCTGTCTCCTTTGCTCCCTATCGTTTGTCGCTCAGTCATCCCTCCGCGCGTTTGCCCCACGCCTCCTCTCCTTCCCTTGTTCCTCCTCATTTCTTCTCCTTCTCCATTTCATTCACCTCCTCTTAAGTCTGTCATTCATCTCCTACGTGTGTCCTTCCTGCATATGGCTGTCTTCGTCTTCTTGGTCTTATCTTGCTTTCTCCTCTGCCCTTACGGTCTTACTTCGATTTCCCCCTTCTTATCTCTCGCTCTCTCCCGTTCGTTCGATCTGGCATATTATTCTTTTCCTCTTTAAGTCTGTCTTGCTCTTTGCTTGTGGTTCGGTCGCCTGTTCGTTCTCTTCGTTCGCCCTTATAAATAATCTTCACCGCCTGTTTCCATTTTCGTTCCTCTGGTCCCCTTCCCCCCGAACTTGCCTGCCCCTCCTTCCCTCCCTCCTTCCCTCCCCCCCCTCCTTCCCCCGACTCCTGCCCGGCCCGCTCCCCAATCCCTTTCCTCTGTCCCCTTTCGGGCGTGCACGTTTTCTCGGGGTCCGCACCCGTTTTCGCTGCTTTCCCGACGACCTGCCCCTCCACCTCCTGTCGTTCGCTTTGCAACCGTGGGGGCTGGAGCTCGCCGTTGTGAACGTGTTTTTCTCCTTTCCCGCATGGGACGGCCACGTCCTACGTCCTCCTCATCACCGCCTTTCAGTACTACGGCTTGAACAAATTCCCGGGTTCTTGGCACGTGTAGCAGATTTCCCTTCGATTTCCTGCTGGACGGCTCCGGTCTAGGAGTGCCTGTTATCTTTGAAGACGACCTTTGGTTGCGCCGAGTCTTCTCTCTCCTTTCTTATGCGTATATACTTCCTTCCCGTTTGTGAATGCTGGAGCAGGAAAATAGGAGGCCTTTCGCAAACTCACGCCTCGCAAAGCGCGCCGTGCATGCTCCGCGTTGTTTCTGTTGTGGTTGTGTTCGCCGCATAGGGAGTGTGTGTGTGTTTGTGTGTGTCTCTGTGTCTGCCTGTGTATACCTGCGTGCGTGCGTGTGTGTTTCTGTATGGGCGTTTTTTTTTTGTCATGTCGGCATGCTGTGTGTCTGTGGTCCTATGTGACAACCCATCGTTATCCTCCTTATAAATGGGTGCACACAGTGAAGTCGAAGGGGCCTGGTACGCCCGCGAAGCGACCCCTGTTAAGTTTTAAGTCAGGGGAGAGGGGAAGGAAGATCTGCTCTCTGCGCCGTCAAGTCCCCCCCCATACTAGCGAGCTGCACGACATTGTCAGCTCGGCGCGCAGTGTTGATCGCCCTCACAGTCAGGGGAGAGGGGAAGGAAGATCTGCTCTCTGCGTGCGTATAACTCGTCTCAGAGTATCACAAGCGTCCACGAACTGTTGTCTGGGCGCCTCCTCGTTCTCTTTCGTGTGCTCACCCCTCCCCTGGTCCTTTACCGTCGTTGTTACGCAGTATGCGTATGATGCCTACCGTCTTCCGCCGAACACAACGCACCCTCATTTTCATCTGGCCGGAAATATAGCTTGTATACATTCATTTTTGGAGTGCGTTATGTTCGGGGGAAGACGGTAGTTTATTCCATGTTTTCGATGGCTGAATATGCCTAATGGGGTTTATTTAAGGGTTCGTCCACGGGGGGTTGACGATAGATGATGACGAGTCACAACTGGATCTGTCTCTTATACACATCTAGATGTGTATAAGAGACAGGAGGGGAGGCGCGGGCGAGTCATATCTTTCATTTGGATTGTCAACGTGAAGCCGACGAGTAGGCAAACGACGGACAGGAAACGGGAAGCGGAGGGAATTTCTGGTCGCGATTAGTGCTGCGGTCGCGCGCGCGCGCACGGAATGATGGTCGCGAATGGGGGTCATGAAGGGAATCGGCCAGAACGGGAGGGGGGGAGGCGGGGTTGAGGGCGGAAGGATGGGGACGATTGGAGGTGGGGACATCCTTATTACAGGTCTATTGCGGATAATGCACCTCCAGTAGCACGAAAAGCCGCCAGCATAATATGTCGCAGCGATTATCACACCTAGCGCAGATGCTGGCACTGTTCTTAGTCGACCCAGAGGATAGAAACATGGCAATGATCTTGTGTAGAAAGAACGCTATGCTCTCTAAGGCTATGGCGTGGAAATCTGGTAGACTTATTTTACTCAAATGGTAAACCTAATTTTGAGTAAGCAGGCCGTGCGCGCACCTATCTTTGTTTCTGAGACTGTGACTATGTATATATATATCGTCGAACACAACTGTCCGATAAACCGTAGGGAGAGAGGTAGAAGAGAGCGACAAATGAGTGGCTGTCACAGACTGTGTCGTCGGTCGGAGGTTCACCGACTCATTACGAGGCTGAACCTTCTCCAGTCTATATATTTATGTCTGTATATATATCGTCACATGATATCAGAGCGCCTAATCGAAAAAACCAGAAAAACAAAAAAATCTTAAATTTGTTTGTATATATGTCACATGATATCAGAGCGCCTAAGCGAAAAAACCAAAAAAACAAAAAAATCTTAAATTTGTTTGTATATATATGTCTGTATATGTATGTGTTTAATTGCACATGTGTGTATGGCAAAGTGTGTGTTGTGGACCTGTCTGCACGGATGTGTGTAAATGTCTGGACAAATGCAACAGTTGTTCTCCGGTTGTAACTTTTCTTGAGCTGTCGTGTTTGTCATGGAATGGCGCTTTGACGAGGGGCTTGTCCAGATAGAACGGGCCTTGAGAGAGATGAGAGTTCTTTGAGGGATCGCCTGAAGGGAGGGGCCTTCGCAAGGTGTGTAGGAAACATCCTCCCCCTCGAAGTCGAGGGTAGTTGCGACTGCCCATCATTGTACGGAGGGTATTTCCGAGATTGGAGAAACGCTGTGTAGTTGGTGGAATGCAGAGGGAGGGCTGTGGAATGTAGGGAAGAGGTTAGCCTGCGTTGCCTAGCGCCGTTCGGCGCCGTGAAGCGGGGGGGGGGGGGGGGG